CCATTTCATCTTCAAGCGAATTTTGGAGTAACTTTTAAAATTTACTGGGTTTTAAATACACAGCTAAAATCACGTTTCCATGGTTACAGAATATTCTACTCAAATTGAACACGGGGTGTCTAGATTTTCCTTATGACAGTATCATTGTATCAGTTATTAGCTACATTTTGGTAAGGGGTGAGGATGTATTTTACACTGAAACCTGACGTCGGTTGAATGGATGTCGTCTGAATTTAAAAAAAAAAAAAAAAAAATTTGTTAACGGGAAAATATTTTCAACGTCATCTTTTAAAATTAAAGATTTTTTTTTTTTTTTTTACAATACTTTTTATTTAACTACGATTTGAAATATTTTCCTTTTTAATTTTTATTTTACTATATTCTTTTTAAGAACAGTTAAATGTATTTGAATCCATTATATTATGTAGGATTATTTTAACATTAAGTTTAAGTATGTATATGAGGTTACATTTTTTTTTTTTTTTTTTTTTTTTGTATATGACTATGACAGCAGAAATGGTTACTTAATTTCACTGATTCAGTAAACTTTTCTTTTATATATAAACCTATTATTATAATATTTCACATGTAAGTACTGAGGACATGGGTCATTCAAAAGCTTACATGTTATGGTATTTCATATTAATTTTATTTTACTATAGGTGTTATTTTTGGATTCTTTTTAATGCGTGTAGTATTATTTAAAAGAAATTTAGGTTAGAATTCATTCAATTTAACTACAATTTTAATTACAAATTCAAAATTACAACTTTAAAATTTTAAAATATTTTCATTGTTTATTTTTTAATAGACTATATTACTTTATAACAGAAGGAAAATTACTCATATTAAGTAAGATTATTTTTTCCATATCAAAGTATATGTAAATTTTTTTTTTTTTTTTTTTAAATTTAAATATTATTTAAGTAATATTAATGGCACTTACTACAAAACTAGCTAAGTCATTTCTCAGATTTAGTAAACTTTATTTATTTATTAATTAATTAATTTATTTATTTCAAATATATGTAACCTAATTAATAAAGTTTCATATGTATGTATAAATAACATGTTAGAATTCATTTTATTTTACTACAATTTTAATTTCAATTTTAAAATTATAACTTTAAAATTTTAAAAAATATTTTCATTGTTAGTTTTAATTTAGACTATATTACTTTTATAACAGAAGGATAATTACTCATAGTAAGTAAAAAAAATTTTTTCATATCAAAGTATATGTAAATTACAATTTTAAACTTTTTAATTTAGATATTATTTAAGTAATATTAATGGCCCAGACTACAAAACTATCTAAGTCATTTCTCAGAATTAGTAAACTTTATGTATTAATTCAAGTTTATGTATATGAGGTTACATTTTTTTTTTTTTTTTTTTTTATATATATATAAACCTAGTGATATAATGTTTCTCATGTAAGTACAAAGGACATGGGTCATTCAAAAGCTTACATCTTATGGCATTTCATATTAATTTTATTTTACTATATTTGCTTTTTTGGGATTCTTTTTTTTAGTGCGTGTAGTATTATTTAAAAGAAATTTAGGTTAGAATTCATTCAATTTAACTTTAATTTTAGTTTCAATTTTAAAATTACAAACTTTAAACTTTTGAAATATTTTCATTGTTAGTTATATTAGACTATATTACTTTATAACAGAAGGAATATTACTCATAGTAAGTAAAATTATTTTTCAATATCCAAGTATATGTAAATTACAATTTTTAATATATATACTGGACTCTCCCTTCGTTTTCAACCTATGAGGGTTCAGTAGCTCATTTCTTAGAGCAAAGAACCACGTTACCCACATATATCATTGGATACAGCTTTTGAATTCAAAGTTGTATTTCCCTAGACCGTTCGCTAGCCAAGGCTATAGGACCAAGTCTGTCCTGATATTTACCCATAGCTGGAGGGGGAAGAGATGGATTAATACCTTTCTCAAGATATTAGCACCATTTGTACCCACGGAACCTCAGAATAAATTTAAATAACAGGGACGCCATTTTATTAATCAAACCCTTTTTCCTTTTTTTTTTATTTTATGACATACAGCACCTGAGATATCTTTCGGCCAACACTTATTCATAGGTAACGCGTTGGCACAAGGGTTTGATTAATAAAATGGCGTCCCTGTTATTTAATTATATATATATATATATATATATATATATATATATATATATATATATATATATTAGTAAGTAATAATCTTATAAGTATAAGAAATTATACTCGCTCGGAAAAGCTTCAGTGTTTTGATTTGCAAATAATCAAACCAATACCAAAGGGAAAAAAGGTATTAAAAAAGAAAGAACCAAGAACATGTACGTTAGCCTAAAATAATCGTCTAGCTTGAAGAAAAAACCCCGATGCGAGTAGGCAAAATAACTAAATAAAGTGCTCGATACAGTAAGTAGAGCAGATCTAGTTAAACCTAGAGAGCTTGACAAACCTATCAAGGTTTCACCTAAGCGGATCCGCTTAGGTGAAACCTTGGTAGGTTTGTCTGGCTTTGTAGGTTTATATATATATATATATGTGTGTGTGTGTGAGTGTCTGTGTGTGTGTGTTACTACAGTATGCTTTACCCATTACAAGGACCAGCGGCCACTCGTGATAGAGGGTTAAATTAGGACGCCTCCCCAACTTCCAACGTCTCAGTGAGGACTATCTCAGTAATGTTACCAGTCTCTTGATTTATTAAAGGCCTTGACCCTAAGAAAGCTACTGGCCCAGACAAAATTCCCGTGGTTGTTCTTAACAATATCAACCCGGAATTATCCCCAATCCTAGGCAAGTTATTCAACCACTGCTTGAAGTAGAAATCCAAGCCTGTGGAAGGTGTCAAGAGTATTACAAGAACGCGGGCGTGCGATCTCCCCCCTCCAAGTGCAGACCCATAATCTCCTCAGTAAGCTTTTTTTTTGAGGCCATAATCAATCTGAAGGTCGTCGTTCACCTAGAAAAGAACGACCACTTCAGCGACGAGGAATTTGGGTTTTGATCAGCCTAATGCACTGCCTACGTCCTAATTACTATCACACACATAATCAATGAGGCTCTTGACGACAGACACACCTCGTGGACCTTAACTTTAGATATGTCGAACATGGATGTGTTTCCCGCATCCAACAGGTAGTCGGCAACGGTTAGTTATATGTGACCATATGCATTTTATACCCGCTCGGCAAGTTCAAAATTATTACAACGAGGGGAGTTGATGTATACATATATACACAGACCAGCTAAACTTACAGAGGATGGAAATGACCACACGGCCAAAATGAAAATGCGGAGTGAATCACCATTACTTAGGTGGGGACCCCGGAAAAATACCAAAAACACATATAACACATTTCTTGTGATTTCTGCTTATTTTTTATAGCAACAATTATCTCAACAAAGGCATGATTTCCTGTTGCTCTGTAACTGATATGGGATATATTTGTTCGACGTGGCAAAATGGTTTTGGACTACTGTAACCGGGTAGAACAATCTAGCAGGTAACCGTAATGGACTGGCCCTTGTCGTAGTGGTAGGCAATAGGCGTAAGCAATAGGTGTAGGCAATAGGCGAAGGCTATAGGCGTAGCCAATGGGTGTCGTCCTGTACCTCCGCATTAGTCTGTATTTATGGCTGACACCAGGCAATCATATTACTGTGAGAGAGAACAAGGTGTATCAGTAATAAAGATGCTTTGGTTTGTTTTGGTTTGTTTTATTGTATATCAACTTCAATAGGTTATTTAATGCCAAGATTTTTATTGTTGGTAATATTTTTTGCAAAAAGTTATTGCTGGTAATATTATTTTTTTCTTTTTTCAAAAATCTGTTGCTAGTATTAAAACATTTTTATACATTCATTCGTCTTGAACTCTTTTAGTTTGGTTCATGGCATTTCAGCCTCAGTGGGTTGTTCAATGCCGACAAGATTTTTCTAGCTGATCATTTTTTTTCCAAAAATGCATTGCTGGTAATAGTTTTTTCCAAAAATGTATTGCTTATATTAAAAGCTATTTTTACACATTCATAGTGGGCACGTAGCCGAATGGTTAGAACGTTCGCTTTCTGACCACGAGAGCCGGGTTCGAATCTCACCATGGAGACTTCTTGATGTTATCGGACAGGAGGGGTCGATCTCAGCGTGCGGTAAGTGCCCGGAAACCATACCAATGAGTGAAATTTGTAGAAGGAACCTCTAGGGGGCGGTAGATAGCTGTGCTAGCACGAGATCACAAGTCATCGTGGCCGAGAGCTTTGAGCGTGTTGGCCTTTTTTCAAATTTTTGATCACGCTAGATAACACGCTTTTTTCCAGAAACTGCAACTAAGGTCTGCTCAGCATAGGTGCAGTATAAACAACAGGCGGGCTCTATGGGTGTTGAATAAACACAAATGCCCCTGAGCAAACGTCTACAATAGTAGACGGGTATCCTCGAATACGACTGGCCAGCTATATATACATACATATTTGCCCATAGCTGCGACAGATGTAGTTTATCGTCAGAGCCAGAAGGTCTCATTGACTTGGGGGGGTCTTAATTCTCTGTAGGGGGCAGTTGGCATATTTTTAAGCCCCAGCGACAGGTTAAAGAGGTCAAAGTTTACTGGGTGACGCATCATTCCTATTTTTTACCTAATCAAAGAAAGAAGCGAGTGTCTTTTATTAAAATAGATTAGAATTGCCTGTTCCACGATAATCTTAATATTGATTGATTAATTCCTTTTTTTACGGATTATCAGGTCTTTGCGGGTTATTTAATTAATATCTTTAGATTATAAGATTTTTTTAATTTTAAGGGGATAATGATTAAGTGATATAAGTCTTACTAAACCATAGCTGGAGGAGAAGAGGTGCATTCATACCTTTCTCATGGGTATTTGCGCTTAAGTGAACATAACGAACCCAACGGGAATTGGAACTTCGTTCTCGAATTTCCGATTCCGAACCGTTATTCACACATCTAAACTTAGAGCACCTGGTATTCACAAGCGGTCACCCATCCACGTACTGACCAGTTTCAACGTTGCTTAACTTTGGTGATCATATGGGAACCAGAGTTTCAACATGATGGGGCATTAAGCCTAATCTTAATACTGGTAAGATTTGATGTCATGTCTACGAGTGTTAATGGCCGGGGTCATGGGCAACGAAACCGGTTAACCCACCAGACTGTTTCTGTTGAAAATGAAGGATAGATTGTTACAGTTTTTTGGATATATGTATGTACTAGTGAACTAGCCAAAATTAGCTGACTCATTTTATAGTCCACCAAGAGAAAGGTTAACCAATCAGAAAGCTCAAAATATTCAAGCCGACGTGTATAAAGGCAGCCATTTTGTTTTTTTCTCCCAAAATATCTTCACTGCCAACTTGATATCGAAGACTTAAAGAATTAACAGTCGCTACTTTCTCCGAATCTTCACTGCCAACCTCTGATATTGAAGAGAATTACGGGCTTCACTGGATTCCATATTCAGAGACTACGGTAAACATGGTCAACATAGATACACAAAGGGAATGAAATCAAGACCTGGCAAAAGGCGGAGTGACCTTCTTGTAGGGTCAACGGCTATCTAGCACAATGATGTAAACTGGGCTCCATAAATATGCATGGAACCATTACGCTGACGTCACATTATCGCTGGGCGGAGGGGCTTCCTAGACTGAATCAACTGTCAGGATGAAGAGTTCGCCCCATTAAAATCAACGACCGCGTGTCTATAGCCAAGGTAGCCTTAAAGCTGGAAGGCTGTGTTTTGACTTGGAGAGGGATTGACTGCGCCAGGTCTACACGCTACACATGAATACAGACATTCAACCAAGATATTATGTAAGCCTTTAGTATCTGTCGTATGACTGGGTCATCAGCGACTAAACCGGTTCCCCTAGCATGCTTTTCGAGGTAGATGGCTACACACCTCGACAAGATTAAAAGCAAGACCTGGCAAAGAGTAGGTGAACTTTCTTGTAGGGTCAACGGCCATCTAACACAATGGTGTAGACTGGTCACCATACCTATGTATGCGGTTAGTGCGATTACCACACAGTATCACTAGGTGTGTGTGTGTGGGGGGGGGCTTCCTAGACTGAATCAGCTGCCACGGTGAAGTCTTTTTCCCGATGGAATCAACGGCAGGTGACCAAAGCGGGTCTTCATGTTGGAGGAAATCGGCTGCCAGGTCCACTTGCCCCAAGACGCTCTAACGCATCAATGAATACCTCTCCAGCTTTCAACTCCAGATGCGTGGAGGGAACCGGTCAGTTGCTTAGATGCGCAGCATCCCTTCGACCAGTCCCAGTCATACGAATGATGATGATGATGATGATGATGATGATGATGAATCTACTTCCATTTTTTTTTTTATTTTTAGCTTCTCGAAAAAGACAACCAATTCATGTTTGAAAACTATGAATAAACAATTTCATCATAATAAACACAGTTTGCTATCAACGGACAGTCTCAAAATCATTGAAAACTCAAATTGTTTTGTTTTTTTTAATTAATTAGAGGGAAAATAGTTACAAAATAAAAACTAACCTCCAACATTTCTGTAATTAAACATCGAACGGATTACACGTTCGTTTGGAAATCAATAAATATTTCTGAAATTAAAATATTACAAATTTTGGTTCGTTCTCTCATATTGAAGAATAATGGGTGCAAAGATCCGAATTTAAATCCCACTATAGTCCATTTGTCAAAGAGGTGACTTCTTCATGTTATCGACCTGGGGTAACGATCCTATCGTGTAGAACTATTGGGAAGTGTCTGAAAAGCATACCACAAGTTGAACGAGGGAATCTGAGTAGACGAAACTGCTCGAAAACCATGATATATTTATTATTATTATTATTATTATTATTATTATTATTATTTTCTTTGATTTGTGGCGTTTACATTTCTTTCCGGGTCCCAGGACCTAAGTTTAGAAATGGCATCATGACACTTTCCACTGACAGAAAAAAAAAATATATATTACATAGATAAAGCCCTTCGTAAAGGTGAGAACAATGTTTTCTATCTCTTTGAGGCATGGACTTCCAGAAAATCCCTTCAATTAGTCTACATTATTATCATTATTATTATTATTAGTTTTATTTTCTTTGATTTCTGGCGTTTTCACATTTCTTTCCGGGTCCCGCCCAGGGACCTAAGGTTAGAAATGGCTTCATGAAACTTTTCACTGACAAAAAAAAAAAATTACATAGATAAAGCCCTTCGTAAAGTGTGGGCTGTACTTGTCAGAACAATTTTTTGTATCTCCTTGAGGCATGGACTTCCAGGAATCCCTTCAATTAGTCTACTGCAATCTTTTCCAACCAGTCCTAGGGCTCCAACTACAACAGGGATTGTTGATGTTCCCATATGCCACATTTTCGAGATTTCTATTTCAAGGTCCTTGTATTTTGACAGCTTTTTGAATATCTTCAAAGATGCATTGCAGTCAACAGGGACTGCCATATCAATAAGGAGGCACCGTTTTTGTTTGTGGTCTTTAATAACAATATCTGGGCGGTTGGCCTTGATTGTTCTGTCAGTGTGTATTGTGTAGTCCCATAGAATTGTAACAGGTCCTATCTCCGTAACCGGGTCTGGGTGGTGTTCATGCCATTTTCTTTCAGTTTCCTTCCCGTAGAAGTTGCAGATTTTCCAGTGCAGATATTGGCCCACCCTGTCATGTCGGGTTTTATATTCAGTGGGTGTCAATATCGTGCAACCTGATACAAGGTGGTCAATCGTTTCTGGATATTTATCACAGAATCTGCATTTTGGGCTAACACAATATTTTAGTATATGTGCTTGATAATTCCTAGTTAACTAGCATTGGTCCTGTGCAGCAAGGATAAAACCTTCAGTTTCCGCTTTCAACCCTGCACTACGTAGCCACTGATGGGCACGGGTTTTGTCTACGTCAGCTTGTTTGGTACGGGCATGAAGCGGTTTATCTTGCCATCGCTTCTGTATCTGGTCGGTTGCATTCGTCTTTGCTGTCTTTTTTAAGTATTTTGCAGTTTCAGCCGGTGTATTGTGCTGTAGTTGCAGCTCTACGCCCATTTGAAACTCCATTTTGAATGTGTTGGCTTCTTTCATTACGGAGAAAAGACGCTTACTACTTTCATGTTCCTTGACGCATATCATCATCCAGTCTTCTGTAGTTCCCAAGTATCTTTGGAGGCCAATTGTTGTAGTTTTGTAGGACAGTTCTAGTTGAACTAATCCTCTGCCTCCTTCGGATCTGGGCACATACAGACGATCAACATAAGCTTTGGGATGATGTATGCGATAGCAAGTGAGAAGATTTATCGTTTTGGCGTCCATTCGCTTAATTTCAGCCACGGTCCAGTTAAGGACATTAAAGCTGTATTGCACCACAGGGACAGCCAATGTGTTTATGGCTGATATTCTGTTTTTTGAGTTTAACTCAGTATTTAGTACCAGACGTACACGCCTGTAGTACTCTTTTCTTATTTTTTCCTTCATTTGGGGGTGTTGTATGACATCTTCTTCGCTAATTCCTAGATACTTTTAGCTTCATCATGCTCCAGTTCCCTAATCTTTGTAACAAAATCTAAATCTATTAAGGGTGTTTCTGTAATTCTACCTTTCTTGTTACCTTTCCTTATTATTATTATTATTATTATTATTATTTCCTTTGATTTCTGGTGTTTACATATTTCTTTCTGCGTCTTGCCCAGGGACCTAAGGTTAGAAATGGCATCATGACACTTTCCACTGACAAAAAAAAATTACATAGATAAAGCCCTTCGTAAAGTGTGAGCTGTACTTGTCAGAACATTTTTTGTATCTCCTTGAGGCATGGATTTATTATTATTATTATTATTATTATTTCCTTTTATTTCTGCTGTATACAGATTTCTTTCCCGGTCCCAACCAAAGACCTAAGGTCAGAAATCGCTTCATGACATTTTCCACTGATCCATTTCATTTTTTAAAAAAAACTAACATCACACACATTTTACTGAGGTAAAGCTCTTCGCAATGTGTGAGCTGTACTTGTAATTTTTTTGTATGTTTTTAAGGCATGGTCTACCAGGAATCTCTCCAATGAATCTATCGGAATCTTTTCTAATGAAACCGAGTGCTCCAATTACAACTGGAATTGCCGATGTCCTCATATGCTATATTTTTTAGACTTCCGCTTCAAGATCCTTGTATTTCGACAGTTTTTCTTTTAGACCTTCAAAGATACATTGCAGTCTGCAGAGACTTCTATATTAATAAGAAAGTACATTCTGTTTTTATGGTCCTTTGATCACGATGTCTTTGATCACGATTGTTCTGTGTATTGTAACGATATTATTATTATTATTATTATTTTATTTCCTTTGATTCCTGGCATACTCATTTCTTTCCGGGTCTCAACCAGGGACCTAAGGTCAGTAATGGCATCATGACATTTTCCACTGAGTAAATTTTGGAAAATAAAAATTACACATATTTTAGATAGATAAAGCCCTTCGTAAGATGTGGGCTGTACCTATGAGAATTTTTTTTTTTGTATTTCTTTAAGTCATGGAATACCAGGGATCCCTTCAATGAGTCTATTGGAATCTTTTCCAATCAATCTGAGGGCTCCAACTACAACTGGAATTTTTGATGTTCGCATGTGCCACATTTTTGAGATTTCGATTTCAAGGTCCTTGTATTTTGATAGTTTTTTGAAGATCTTCAAATATACATTGCAATCTGCAGGAACTGCTATATTAATAAGGAGGCATCTTTTGCCTTTGCGGTCTCTAATCACAATGTCTGTGTGTATTGTAAAATCCTATAAAATTGTTACAGGTCCTATCTCCGGGTCTGGGTGTTGTTTATACCAACTACTTTCAGTTTTGCTTTGCGTAAAAATTCCAGATTTTCCAGGGCAAATCTTGGCCCACTGTCATGCCAAGTTTTATATTCAGTGTGTGTCAATACTGCGCAAACTGATACAAGATGGTCAATCGTTTCTGGATATTTATCACAGAATCTGCATTTTGGGCTGACACAATATTTTAGTATATGTGCTTAATAATTCCTAGTTAGCAAGCATTGGTCCTGCGCAGTAAGGATAAAACCTTCAGTTTCAGCTTTCAACCCTGCACTACGTAGCCACTGATGGGTACGGGTTTTGTCTACGTCAGCTTGTTTGGTACGGGCAGAGTATTGGCCATGAAGCGGTTTATCTTGCCATCGCTTCTGTATCTGGTTGGTTATTATTATTATTATTATTATTATTATTATTATTATTATTATTATTGAGAAATGTACTCGATATTTACGGAAGCTTTCTGCAATCTACAATTCCCCAACAATAAAGAAAAATAGGAAATGTTTATCAATCTAACCTGTTTCCCTTTTATTAAAGCTTCATCAGAGATTGGGATATGGAGAAAAAGAAAAAAGAAATTCTGTTTTTTTTTTGTTGTTTTTCTTTTACTTTTGTTTTGTTTGATATACATTGGTTCATCAGGTTTCACGTGCATTCGACTTTCTAAACCATCGTTAGTATAATTTCCCGAATTCAAGGAGAGATGAGGCGTTCAATCGAATTTTTAAGAAATGAACGGATTCCAAGTCTACCTGAAAACCCGTAAATATTGCTTTACGTATGTAAGTGTATATTAATTCTAGGTTGTCTATGCGGGATTTAGATGATAATGTATATTCGTAAGTGTGTGTGGGGGGTATGTTATCGTTCTGTCGAATTCTGATTCATATTTGATCAATATTTGATCCTAGTTCAACAGAAAGTATGCAAATACATGAAATATAATAATGCTGATTAGGATTATGCTGCTGATGCTAACGCTGCTGGTAAGGCTGAATGGTGGTGTTGATGATAGTGATGATAATGCTAATGTTGACGGCGATGTCGTTGGTGATGCTGCTGATGATGACGGTGATGCTGATAATGAGAATACTGATGATGCTCATGCTGCTGGTGATAATTTATATTTATCTTCCATCTGCTTACGATGAAGATGATGATGATGTCTATGGTGATATCACTAATCATAGTGATGATAACGTTGATGCTGCTGCTGATAGTAATGTCGATAATGATGCTGTTGATGATGATGATGATGATAGTCATGATAACATTACATTGATGTTGCTGCTGATGTTGATGATTTTCATACTGTTGATGCTGCTGATGATAGTAATGTCAATAATGATGCTGTTGAGGATGATGATGATAATCATAACATTGATGTTGCTGTTGATGTTGATGATTTTCATACTGTTGATGCTGCTGATGCTGCTGACGAGACTAATATTTATTTTGATGCTGTTCATGATGATGCTAATAATATTGCTGATGATGATGCTTATGCTGCTGCTGATGATGACGGTATTGCTGATCATAGTGCTGATCAGGTTGATGCTGCTGATGATAATAATATTGATAATTTTGATAAGGATGCTGTTGAATATGACGCTACTGAGGATGATGATGGTTATATATATACACTACAGTTCAAAAATTTGAAGTCAAATCCTACCCCCCATCCGAATTAGCCTGGAATGAACTTGACAGAAGAATAAAAAAAAATTGAAAAAGACCTCTTAGAGTGATTAAAGAAAGATTATCAAACTTATACTTTAAGAAACTATTGCAACGAATCCCCAAAATTTGTGCTGCAGTAATCAAGGCTAAAGGAGGATATTTTGACGAGAGCAAAATTTAATCATAAAATGTTGTTTTTCTTTTTGTCATAAAAATTTTTTTATAAAAAGTTATGTCTCTCATGTATATTTTTTTTCTTATTTAAAATACAAAAGAACTACTTAATGAGCCAATTTAAAAAATTACCAGGGGTTGTCTCAAACTTTTAAACTCTAGTGAAAATAATATTGATGTTGCTGCTGATGTTAATGATTTTCATAATGTTGGTGCTGATGCTGATGAGGTTAATATTTATGTCGATGCCGTTGATGATGATGCTGTTGTTGCTGGTGTTAATAATAATATTGATGATGATGATGATGATGATGTTGTTGCAGCTGTTAATAATAATATTGATGATGATGATGATGATGATGTTGTTGCTGCTGTTGATGATGATGATGTTGTTGCTACTGTTGATGATGATGATGATGATGATGATGATGATGATGATGATGCTGATGATGATGATGATGATGATGATGTTGTTGTTAATAATAATATTGATGATGATGTTGTTGTTGCTGTTAATAATAATATTGATGATGATGATGATGATGATGATGATGATGATGATTGTGCTTTGACCGTCTGATGATATGACGCGGTCCCCCGTAATTTGGGATTCTGTATATTTCCTCTCAGCGTTTTCTGTTTTACTTGTTAAAATCATCTTCGACAGATGGATATCGATTAAATTAATATCGTCCGCAAATTAATCAAAATCGCTTCCTTGCCATATTAAACCAATTTATTTTTCCTTGTGAAATCTAAATTGATTTCGAACAAAGCTACAAC